TTTGGACATGCTGAGATGGTCTGGACATGTGCAGCAGAAGGATAGTGGACATACTGGACAAAGGAGTTTAAGGATGTGGTGAAGGAGGACATGCAGATTGTTAACGTGAGGTGGAGGCAGATGATCTGCTGTCACAACCCTAAAAGGGAGCAGATGAAAGGAGAAGATGACCTTTCATCTTCTCCTGTCACGGTCAGCGGTTTGAGTTTTTGTGAGTTTGTAATTCTTTTGGGTTGGAAAAGCATTTTATGTTCACACTCTATGTCTCGCCCTTTCGTGTCTTGCCTCTGTGTTTTAATGTTTGTCTCTGGTCTTTTGTCTCTTGGACTTTATATGTAGTTTAACTTCCCTTGTCTCATTAAACCTGATTTGCTACAGCGCTTGTCCCACTTGTCTCCTTTCCCCTCTATACCTGGGCTGTATTTATTGTCTCTCTTTGTTGTGTCCTCCTTCAATGCTGTGTGTTTCCTAATTATTTTTCTCATGTATATGTTTTTGTTATGCTTTGATTGACAGATTGATATTGAAATGATTTTAATCACTCTCTTAAAAGAAGTCAAGAACCCAAACGAGGCCAGATACGGACCCAGGAGACAAAATTCAGCTTTTATCCGATTATTAAGTGATGACATGACGAATCCTACTTCCGGGCCTAAAGTAGTCTGCGTTTAACATGGCTTTTGTGTTGTTAACATGTTTAATGCTTTGTATTTTCTTCTATTTAATCTCAAAAAGCTCCTAAAAAAAGTCAGTGATCCCTGTTGACCTCCCTCGGCTTTTATTGCCACTAATCATTTATTTAAGCTCAGTTTTTAAAACCTTAGGATGTAACTACAGCCCAGCCCATGCAGCAGTATATGAATGACTAACCTCGTATTGTGACCACATGGGTGTTACAGTGGGTGGTTCTTGTATTCACTGAATAAAAGGCTGCAGGGAAGGCTGTTCTTTGAAGTTGGCTGGGAAACAGGTGAGGAGCATTCATCTCCAAGAGCCTGGTTTTGACCAGGCTTCCCTTGCAAGTTAAAATGGATCGCTGTTTGTCTTGCTTTGTTCACTGGTGATAAGTCTTGTGTTACATGTTGGGCCTGCGAGCGCAGACCCAACATGTAACACTAGTCTCATGTATCTGTGAGCCGGCCTGGGTCTCTACACTGTAGCTTACTTTTGATTTTCCCTTGTTGATGCTCATAATAAATATATTAATTGTATAATTAAACCTAAAGATGAGCATATCATTTGAAATGGTACAGTTTCACTTTAGTTAGTGAAGTAAAATCACTTGCGTTTAGTGGTAAATTAATATGTAGCACTGATAAAGTGGTGTTCCTTACTGTTCAATCACTAGGTTACTAATACTGAATGAAACAGGATAACTAAACACTCTGGTGAGTCCACACACACTCATTCCCAAACATTCTGAAAATACAACCCTTGCTGCAGCCCTGAGTCTTAGCTGGGGTGCATTGTGGCCTAAATTGAATGGTCACTTCACTCATAAACAAGCCATAAAATAAAAGGCACATGCAAATATCAGTACTCATGGCTCCTGATAGTTTAAAAGGTGAACATTTGCCTGTTTCAATCATAAGAACTGTCACTATACAGAAATGTGCTTCTGAATGTGGACGATGTGTCTTCTGACTTTGTAATGCAGTTGTGCTTCTGTTGAGTGATGTAAACAACCAATCGATCTACACTCTTCAAACATCAAAATTGATCATTTGATTTTGTTTATGACACAGCACAGGTGAGTTTTCCCACCTTCTCCTCTTTGTAACTTCACACGATCTTTCTGTTTTCATATTTTGGACATGATTTTGGAGTCCACCTTCGCTGTAGCAATTGACCGCAAAATAAAGCTACCGCAAATGTACAACTCTACATCCGGTCTTAAAACAGGAAGTCAGCATTTTCTCGTGCACAGGGTCTATTGGTTTTGAAAAAACCCTTTCAGACTCCTAATTACCTCTTGGTAGGTTAAAACAGCTCCACACGCCAGGTGACTGGTCAGTCATGAAAATAACAGCATGCTGCTTGTCTACAGACTAAAATGTCCACTTGATAGCATTAGCTGGTCTTTCTACAAACTCACACACACAGTGGACACCACACCTACCCGCCAAATCCCACCCTTCTACCTGAAAGTCTCACCAGATTAGCAAGCGCCACCAGAGCTTTAGAACATGCCAAATAAAATAAATGAAATAATAAAATGTAAATAAGTAGGCTGAGTCTAAGCAACACACATTATACATATACATATTTATATTCCGAAACTCTTCCAAACTCTTCCACTTAAAGTGTAAAAAATACAACTAGATAATAAGATGGAAGTCAAAGTCTAGCAAAAGCTGATTGTTAGCAAACATAAAATTAATATTTGAATTGACTGATCAGCTAAATTTAGCAGTAATATTGTATTTGTGGTAAAGCAGTTTATAGCATCATGATTATTATTAGTTTTGCACTTTTGGATAGTTTTGTGAAATATGAATTTGGTCCAAATTTATACCCCGTTTTGTGCACAGACACAGAAGTAATGGCCCTATTATTCATTAATGGAACATGAGCTATTGGTGCTTTTAGCTAATTCAGATTTCAGAACTTTATTTGCGGTGTGATCAGGATGGTTGGAGGCTGAATATTCATCATAAGCTGTTATAAAAGCACCAAGTATGACTTAAGTCATCAGATTATTTTTTAAGTGTTTGTTTCATAATTCTGACGGTATCTGCAGATATTTCAAAGATGAATACTTTATCACACACACACACACACACACACACAATCAGAGACTTGTGGATGTTGTAAATAAAACATTTATTATTTAAAGACACACTTGAAAGTGTATTAGCAGTTAGACCAATGAGCTTCCAGAATTACAAGCGAACCATATACATATACAGCTTATACAGGAAGCCTTTAATCAGAGACTTGTACTTAAGTGTTTTTACTTATTCTGAATATTTTTCATGTTCTTCAACAGCGAAGGAATCCATATTAGTATTTTATCTCTGCTGGTCATTTAATGTGGGGGAGAAAATACAAAATAAAGGAATTTTTTTGCTATAACTATCTTTTTGCATGTATTCTTTATAAAACTGGGTTCCTGAAAAAGTAAATAAAATATTTGAACTTATTGTGTCAAAGTCAGTGAGTCCCCGTAAACTTTTATCATAACTCTGTTAATCTGCCACAATAACACAAAGCTTTACACAAGATGTCAAAGACATACAGAAACAAGAAATATAGATAAAATATTTATACATACTGTACATAAGTGTACAGAAGCCAAGAAAGGCTGTGATGCTGTGAATTTTTTAATGCTGTTATTTTAGAATAACTTTAATAACTCACTTGTCTGTATCAGAAAGAATTGCCACAACATTTGTAAACCAATTGTAAAGCGCTTATAAAGAATAATTTCCGCTCGTAGGAATGAGTAATGATAAAAGAGTGGAAAACACAAGCCGCTGTTTGTCTGATGTTCCTGTTGCACCACAAAGCCGCAAAAATGATTCACCATAGGGGTGAAAATAACACCTCTGCTTATCTGAGTGCAAGGATAAACACACAATTTTACTTTCTGTTTTGATGAGATGGAAAACTAGGGTTGACAGAATAAACCCATTCATGTGTCTTAATTCAATTTATTTTATGATTAGTCGCCTTTATGGATTAACGATACATGAAAAGTGGCGTCATGATTCCTGATAGAAAACCAAGAGGAAAATAGATCTTTACAGAAATAATAACGCATTATCAACAATTTACACTCCTCTGTATTTTAATAAGCATATTCAAAACAGCCAAAAGAAATGTCCTCCTGTAGTTTGCTTGAAGCTCATGTTGTCTAATAAGCAAAGAGTAAACAACCTTTTTTTTCTTGGTATAAAAAATAGTCATTACCACAAGAAAACGACCTTTGTTATCTCAGGCTAACTTGTTATCATGACATAACAGCATTAAAAGATTATTTTAAAAGCACAGTGATTCAAGACTTCTGTGGGACTACACAAAGCATACTGTAAAGAATATTTAAAACAGTTCACATTTAACATCCGCATTCAACATCCACACACAGAAAGTATTATCACACTCACTCGATAACAGTTTGAAGGTGTAAAAAAACTCGCTCACACTCAAAACTCCACATGGTTTAAATCATATTAATACAGTGCATTAAGTATTAGAGTTAGTTCAGTTACTCTGTCTGTATAAAATGCCACCTTTTGTTTATGTTAAAATGCTTTTAGTAACATTACTAAACATATATGTACTCCAACGAACACAATGAGACGTCTGGATAAAAGAGCTCATTTTTCACGTAGTGATGTTGGTACTGCCCTTTAAAATCCCTCATTAAAATACTACAGTTCCAGTTCTCGTTACCTGTTGCAGGTATTTATTTATTTTTACAAAAAAGCAAAACCAGTACTGTGAATCAACACATCCAACCTTCAGCTTCACTGCAAAACTACTCTCAAGCCAGAATTGCCTCAGCATTTTTCTTCTTAGATAAAATGTTTTTAAAAATCCTAAATAATCCTTAACTTTGATGATTTTTGTTACAGATTGATTTTTTATCTGCTGCCCTGAGGACTGTGCTACAAAGTAAGATTTCATCTTATCCAGGTTAATCTTGGGTTTTCTGTATGATGTAGGTGGTTCATTTCTTACATGAAAATCCAGTGTTTTTAGTTTTTTCAATAACGCAGTAATTTAATGCATTACTGTAATCCAATAATTGCATTACAGTTAACATTTGTTGTATGTATATTTATGTTGTTGCTTTCATTGCAAAAGTAAGGGAGGTGGATCCAAAGAAAAAACATGGAACAAAAGTTTTGTCTTCTTCTTACACACATGTGCTATAATCAGCTGATTTCAGTTTGTGTGCTGGAGGAAGAAGAAAAAAGTGATGGTAAAGTGCAAACAGCTTCTGGGAAAGAAACGGCTGCATTATGTTACTAACACAACTTCAGCTCTTTACAACCATCTGCACAGGCAGCATGCTAACACTAAGCTAGCCAAGAGCCAGAGTGATGATAAAGCAGAGTGAAGCTGACCCCAGCCCAGCAGCCAGACCCTGAACTTTAACAGATAACAAACTGCTGAGAAGTAAGACTGAAGCCTCTGTTTCTACCTGTTCATGTTTCTAAAGTAGAATCACTGTGGCGACGACTTTGAAGTCTCTGGTTTTCATCTTTCATCTGCTTTGTTTTCATAAGTAAAAACGAAATAAATGATCGTGTGTGTGTGTCCTCATTGGGATATTGATTTGTGTTGATGTGTGGGACTGTAGACTCAGATTTATATCCTTAAATGGTAATTATGGGACACTGCTTTTCAGGTCATTTCATGGAGTAACAATAAGTAATCTCAGCAGTATAATGAATAACTTTCAACCTGATATCACACCAAAGCTTTGCCAGAAAATTTATTATCTCCCTCTGCTAGTAATGCAACCTTTGCATGCATGTCCATTTACTGCTTCGGAAAAGGAAAAGCATGAAATTGACACTTTGACCAACGTGTCTATTGCATGCTTTACTGTGATATTCTGTTTGGCAATTAAGTAATGTACTGAATTACTTTTAAGAAAAGTAATGAGTAATGCATGACTTCTTTTTAGTGTCCGGTGCTGCAAACCTAATTCGCTGACCAATCAGTTCTCCAGAAAATAGCGTCACCATTCCTGGAAGATTCCGCAGACAGTAGAAAGATTCTGCTCAGACAGTAGGAGGGTCTAAAGGTTTTTTTTATACTGTCTAAAATCTCTTTTTTCCCTGATGAGCATCATTCTCCTGTGTCTTAATGACAGAGCTTTGATATTGATAAGTCTTTTAATTCACAGAGTTGGCCTTTTCTGCTGGCTTTCTTTCCTGGATTCAAATAGGCTAAACTTTATTAATATATCATCTCTTCTTTTCCAGTCTTACTGACCAAAGCACTCACATGCATTCATACATACATACATGCATTTTAATATTAAACCACTGTTCAGGACCCTCCCACCCCCAACACACACACACACGCACACACACACACACACACACACACGCACACACACACACACACACACACACTGACACTGCTGATTTCTCTGCAGCAGCTGTGTTACATTCAGCCTGTATTATTGTTGCCTTTCAAATGGACATGTAGGAGAAACCCTGGGTTAATTTAGCAAGTTGATAACCAGCTTCATGTGACCACTTGACTGCCATTATTAGGGTAAGTGAATCTAGACAATGGAAAGATGCTGAGGGTATATTGAACTTGCTTTAAAGTTCATGGCTCATCTCGTTCAATTTTCTCTAAAAAATACGGTGTAGACACTAATTTGTTGACATCATTGAAAATACAAAATCTTTTAGCATGCTGTCGATTTGTATAAGTCAGGTTTGTAACTTGATATTCGAACTCTGTAAGGCTGTAAACATCTTCTTTGTTTGTTCTGGTATACAGCCTTGTGGTTAAAGAGTGTGTCTGGTTTTCATGCGCAGTCTTAACACCCAGGTGTTCAGTTTCCTGCCACGTACTTTAGAATAACTCGTGCATTGGCAGTTTAGGCTTCTTCATGAGAATGTGGTCGCTTCTTCTTTGTTCCTATCTTTGCCTGATCTTGGTTTCACATCAACTTTCAGAACCTCTTCTTTCACTCCCTTTCACACATTACTAATTCGAACACTCAGTGGGCTGCTGTCCCGAATACGCCCTCTCTGGCAGCCCTTCTCCTCCCCCCTGTAGCTCTCCTCCAGTCTCATCTTTTCCAAGTCCGTTCCGTCTTCCTTGCCCTTACGTTGACGGGACCCCTGCGACTGCACGTCTGGTGGCAGGCCCTGCTTGAAAAGGGGTGGAGTTTTGGTTTTTGCCACTTTGTCAAAAAAGGCAAAATCAGCCACGTATTTTCCTGACGGGGACAGGGAGACAACAGGGGGGAACTCGTAGCCCCAGAGGATCTCGTCGGGAAGGTAGGATGTTCGAACCTGGCATGTGGCGGAGGTTGGCTCAACCGTGGCACTCATGATCACCAACAGCTCAAAGTCAGCCAGTTCTGGGTCTGTCCAGCCACCACCTAGAACCAGAAGAGTATCGAGGTGACTGGTTTCTGATGCTTTAGCCCATTAATAAAAAAAACATACAATTTGATACAGAAACATATAATTCTTCTGTTAATGCATAAAAGTTTTTATATGATGCAGCATTGATTACAAGTCACATAAGTATGAAAGGAAGAGGCAGGAGAGAAAACAGTTGTTGAGATATAAGTGTGAAACGTGGTCTAGACCAGTTTCTCTCACATGTCAAAGTGGGTAAAAAGGTTTGCTTGAATAATTTGCATTCATATGTAGGTTGGTTATTGTTGCTGTTGCATATTGACTTATGTGTTTGTCTATGAAAACAGGTAAAAAAAAAACCTTTTCATTTCCAGAGTTATTGTTATCTTCATGTAGCCACACACAGCGTAGTGCAAACCCGCCTTATATATTAAAAAATAAAAAATATTCCGGCTTTTCTTACAAATCTGCCTCCATCATGAGGCAACAGGCCTTCCTCCATATGAGGAAATGTAAACTACAATAAAAACCACTGTAGAATCTTGTGAGTTGGTGTGAAAAGCAGAAACACTAAACACTATCCACTGTTAACATCAGAGCACAGTTTATTTAAACTCATGTCCACAGACATGCAGTCTTGGGCCCTGGAAGTGGAAAAAAACTCCACTCATCTACGCCCAGCAAAGTACAATACATTTGTAACCTAAGCACAAACACTGCAGATTGTGTCTTATATACTTGAACTTGCTAACACACAATACAAACGCCTTCTGTTGAGAGTGCTTGAAGAAATTAACACTCATTCGGAAGTGCCTTTAGCACTACTTAGAACAAAGGGCAAAGCTGCAGCCTCTTGCGGTGGAAAATGAGTGTTACAAACACACACACCCACACACACACACACACACACACACACACACACACACACACAAACATGCACAGAACTGCTTCACAGACTTAAATATACAGAACTTAAGGAAAAATTATCAGCAAAAACTTTTAGCACATTTTCACAAACAGTAACTGTTCACTGAAAACTCATCACTTATGACTTTCCATTGTCAAAAGCACTCAACACAGTCTCTTACACACACAAATAATGAAATAACTCATTTCTGAAATGTCAGTAAGCCTGCAGAGTAAGCACTGCTGCATAGTCACAGACAGGTGGAACGTACTTTAGAAGCACACACAAAATATACTTTATACTCATCATCGGTGCACGACCTCAGCACCCAAACAAGCAAACACCTGCATCAACAGGCCTCACTCAGAATACACTCACTCATCTGTGTAAACATGTCTTCCCCTCACCCAGACCCACAATCACTCCCACCACGGCAACAACACCACATTTCGCAACCACTGATACACACGGGATTCTCTCTGTTGGCCTTTTTACAGGCGGAGCAAAGGCCTCATCTGCATGTAGTGATCTTTCAAGCACGCCTCTAGATATCTGCACTGTTTGCATTTCAGCTGAGAGGCCTGCTCACCACAAGATATGCATTTTTTTTCTGAGTACAGTTCCCTCTCAGTAATTTGATGTATTATTGTGAGGTAAGATATTTAAGAAAGTGTAAGAATTGTTGAGATCCTTGTTCATCATTTCCAAGTCCTTCTGACTTTTAGATGCATGGTTAAATTATCAATGCTGCAGTTGTGTCAGTGAGGTGGACGGGGAACACAGTCGAGAGGATGGCAGTCACATTGTGCAAGTATTTCATTATTTACCTGGGAACTCAACACTATGAAGCACCTGCACCTCTGCATAGCACTGATGACGAGAGCTGTGGAGGAGGAGAACGATGTAGTGCTACATTTCTGAAGCCCTCACTGTTAGCTTTTAGCTAACGTCTCACTGTGAGCAAAACCAAGAAGCTTCTTCCAATTAAAGGATGGAGGCGGGGCTACCAAGGCGGGGCTACCAATATCAACTCGACTCAAATGTATTCTTTTGAAAATACAGTTTATAGTATAAAACTTTATGCCCCCATGACAATTTCTAAATCTGTCACTCTAAGGAGTTACTTCTCTCATTATGTAATGCTGTAATATAACAGATTACTTTTTTTTAGTAGCTGTAATTTTGTGGTGTAACCAGTTTCTTATAAAAGTATGTCTTTCGCAGCTGACGAGCACTTTAAAGTTTCACAATCCCCAAGATTATTGTAAGCAAAGACTTTCACTACACAATTCAGTGCAAGCCTTTTTTTAGTTTCTGTGCATGGAGTTTTCAGTGATGACGTGGTTAAGGTGTGCTTCTCTGTCTCAGCAGTTGGAGAGCCAGAGCATTCTGCCCTGCTGCTCCAACTGTGGAGAAACAGTTTTTTTTTTTGCACTTGAAGCCAAATTCCCATAGATCCCATAAGGAGGCATTCACTGCTGAACTTCCATAAGTGTTCTGTGTCCATGAAGTATGCATGAGAGGTATTCATGCATGCATTCACAATCGTTAGAAGCAGTTGTATACTTTCTGTACGTCAGTGTGTAAAGGGTTAACAACTGAAAAACAGATCAGTGACGTGAAATATGACAGTTTTTCCATTACTAAGAAAAACTCAAAACAAGTTAAATATTGAACTGAAAGATAAAATGTTTTCGGGGTGTTTTATTACTCATGCAGGAGGTTACATCAGTGTGTAGATGATATGACACACAATGATACAGATCTGGAGTCTTTAAGATGGATTTAGTGCTTGTACTGCTGTAGGCTTCGTGGTCATGAAAGCTTGCTTCAATAAGTTTTTCTTGCAAATGCAAATTATTGTTTAGTTTAGAGGAAGTGAAAATGAAACATAATTACAGTAGAAATATTTTAGAAACTTGTCAAAAGCTTGTTTAAAATTAAACCTTATGGAGTATATACAAATAACAAACTGAGTCCGCATTTTCAATACCCACATTTGAGCCGGCACACTTATGAGAAGTCAGGAAATTAGTCGAGCACAATATTCAACAACTAGAACCAATTTTTCTGTTCAGGAATGGAAGTAAATAACTTTAACTAGGTTTCTTAATCCAAAATAGTGATGTGCTTTACTATTCTTTCTGCTTTTTTGTAGAACAGTCCATTTGAAAATTCATACATAACAGTAATAATTTTAGCATTAAAAATATGATTTTAATTAAAGAGATTTCACCAACAGGTGGATTAACCATTATAGAAACAAAAACAATTAATAATATTAATATTTGTTTACATATACATGTATATATGTATATATAGAGTCATTTTTAGTACGATTCCATCAGGCCTGAGTTCCTGTAAATGGATCTGTGCAGGCTTCGTGTCAGCACTCCAGACTGTACAGTATTGTGCTCTAATGAGGGGTGTCTCTGGCAGTCTCTCTCACACACATTCCAGCCAGAGAAATCTTCTCTCATAGAGCCAAACAAGCCAAACACTGGACACCGAGAGGCAGCCAAGCACGCAGCACATGATCGTAAATACCAACACACCTACATGCACATTGAGTATGTATGTGCATACAGTAAAACTTCTGTCAATGATATACATTTCATACAAAGCAAATGTAAATAAACAACCCATTTCATACAATATGATATCTTTATTTTTTGTCATTAAGTGGTTGCTGAGAATAAGACTGAGAAATGAGAAATAACACAACGGTTGTCACATTCTAAGACTTGTCAACACTTAATGTTAATATTGAGAGAATCCTTTTAGACAACAGGATTAACAGATGTGTGTTTTGAATTGAAAATATTCCGATGCGTATTTCAGTTTCCTTTCTCCATGAACTGAAAGAAACAAATTGCTTAATGCAGAAGACTCAGATGCTTCTGTCTGCTAATGCCCCTATAAAATATATTTTCTTGAAATTAAAAGTTTGTTTCATGCATTTAGACATACATTTTGGCAAGAAAAGGCCATCTGCAAAAAAAAATTACAAAAGAAATAAAAATCTGTGTTTACCCAGTACGAACACCTTTCTCTGTGTTCTGCAGCACATCCACATCTTTTGCATGGTACTCGTATTTTTTTCTGTTTACATGTAACATGTTACAGTTCATCAGAATCGCACTGCACTATTCAACATGCTATAAATTTCATACAGTACAGCATCAAGCAGATAAGCTTTTACCCTAATAAAAGACGTGTCCACAATATAAAAAGCATCAGGATCTGAAAAATGGTGCCAGTTGGAAAAAGCCCTAAACCTGCATTCTTACAAAAGTCCAGCTGCATAGAAGTCTTTGGAAAATAAAGCAACTGCTGACTTTACTTATTTATTTATTGCTGTGGTCATTGTTCTGCTGAATTTATTTATTTGTTGTCAATCTAGTTTAAAATCATCTGAATACAACAATGATGTCAATTTTGTAAATTATGATCCCATGTAGAGTGAAACTATTAGCTGAAACAGAGTATTTCTTAAGCGATGACTCTCTGTGATTTACCCAGGAGTTTCCCAGTAGTTGATCGGATCAGCTCCATGCTTGGTTAATTTTCAGTTTTAACAAAAGACACATGGAAGAGCGGGGTTTTTCAACTTAATCGTTTAAATAAGTAATAAGTTTTTGTTACAGTTCTTTTTTCACTAACCAAAAAAAGTACCTTTGGCTTATTGTCACACTGAATAATAAAAGTGTCTTTCTAAGTAAGCCATGGCTTTGTGAGCTACGGTGATGACTAAGAGCCAAACTGAGGCTTTAAAACAGTCAACCATAAACTAATTGATGAGGTCACGGTGCCCACTTTCATTAGTATTTACAGTACATGGATCCCTATTTAATGTACAGTGGTCATATGATGTGTAAAGGAATCATAGCTGTAAACTGACAAACGACAATTATCTGTTGACTTATTCATCACATCCTTCCACATCATTCTGACTCGAGCTGGGATTTACCTTTTGCTGCCCAGGCTCTGAGGGGGCTGTTGTCATCAATGATGTGGTAGAAAGTGAGAGGGATGATGAGGAAGGGGCTTTCGCTGGACGTGTCCACCTGGAAAGGCACATTTCTCTGGTCCAGCCGCACCGTCTCCCCCTCCTTTGTCAGGGACGTCTGAAGCAACTTCCCCGTCACCTGGGAGCCAAGATGCAGTGAGTAAATGTAGCCATGAGGTTGGAGAAGGCATCCTGTAACCAGAAGGCCCCAGGTTTAATACCTGCACTGGCCATCATCTCCATGTCCTTGAGCAAGGCACTGATGCGTATCATTCGCTTTATTTGTCACCAGCAAGCTTTTCCTCAGCAAAGCAAATATTCAGATAACAGGAAAACGTTTTATAGACATGAAGCGACTCATAATGAAAAACACACTTTCCAGGAACTAAACATAAATAGTAACTCCAAACAGTTACAGGAAGAAGGCTTTCATATATTACAAAAGGATATTTTAAGCAGCAATAATCAGTTTGTAGGTGCTGCTGCATTACCTGGCAACCTAACAGCAGGCTTTTACGCATGTTGGCCACTCGAATCATGAGGCACGGCCGTCCCTCGTGATTCGACACGACAGCGTGTTGGCTGAACTTCACCGTCTCTCCTCTCTTTTTGGGACGAGCAACCTGGAAGGCGAGAAAAGCAAAGTCGAAGCTGTTGTCGATATTCGGCAACCATTTATCAGGCTTCTTATTTCAGTTTTTGAAACAAAATAACCCGAACATGTTGAAAAAGAAAACATTGAAGGAGGAAATTACAAGATCATGTTGACAAGACAGACTGTTGAATTTTTAGACCACACGCAGGAGGAAGCAGCTGCGAGAAACCTCATTATGATAGATATGAGTGCTGATATACTGTAATACCAACACGCAGCGTGACATTTCTTGATAAGGATACTGATTGCTGTAATGATACTGTGAAGAAAACATATGAGGGCAAAAGATAGAGGTACGTGTAGCAACCCCCTCAGCTGACGGGAAAATGTGTCAAAAGATACTTAAAAGGAACAGTGATAACAATGTAACCCACATGTTTTAAAAATACATGTTTAAGATGCTGAACAAAGAATCCAACATTGAAGGCAGACAGCAAGAAGAAATGGTTTAAGTAAGCTACTTTGTATTTACAGTGGTTCCTCGCTATAACACAGTTCACCTTTTGCGGCCTCACTGTTTCGGGGATTTTTTTTTTTTGGTGCAATTTTGCATGCTTTTTTATTTATTTATTTTTTTAAATAAAACAAAATTGCGTCCTGATTGGCTGTAGACCAGCCAATCATGACTGGTCTCATGCCGTGTCTCCTGTACAGTCCAGAATGCGTTCAGCATTCTGAAGTGCTGCACTTTACGTTTGTAAGTTTTCTCCCCAACAAACACAACAATGTCGACCAAACGTTTTGCACCGTCAAAGGTAACCATGGGTGCCTTTGGTTTCATTCTATAATACTGGGTTTATTTTTCTACGAAGGTTTGAACTTTGAGAGTGTTTAAACAAGAGAGAAAAGCGTGAAAATGTTCATGCCTGTCTGAAAAAAAGTGTATAAAGTGTGTAGTGAGGGGTTTTACAGCCTGAAAACATCTATAATAATTGAAATAAAGTTGGCTACTTTGCGGATTTCACCTATCGGGGTTATTTTTAGAACGTAACTCCTGTGATAAACGAGGGGCCACTGTATGCACATACATAATCCTATGAACACAAAAGGACAAGATGCAGTTATTTTGACTTAATTTGTTCTCTTTCACAACTTTTCTGATGATCAAATTTGGCATTTCTAAAATTTCTTCTAAACTTAAAACTACCTTTGCGAGGAAGGTGCCGGTGATGAAGATCTCCATCACCATCGTGACGACCAGCTGGAAGATGAGAAGGACAATCGCTACAGGACACTCCTCTGTGATGCACCTGAAGCCGAAGCCAATCGTGGTTTGGGATTCCAGAGAGAAGAGGAAGGCCCCTGTCAGGGTCTTCACCTCCATTACACACGGCGTGTGGTTGGAGGGGGGGTCAAACTCTGTGAGAATGTAGGCAGAAAGAAAGATCTGCAAATCACTTACAGGATAACTACATTGTTCCTTTTCTCAGCCTTCACTGTCCTGCCTTTGTCATGCTTTCTTCATTGTTTACTCATTTACAGAAAGGTGTGACCGTACTGCAAAGGCAGTAATGTAAAGGATTATAACATTTTAAAAACTATAAAATGTAACAATTCACAAAATATAGAATATCTGAAGTGATTTGTCCAATAGCAAAACGATGTTCTGCTGAGTGCTGTACTTTGGAATGTACTACTTATCTAAATACTGATGCAGTTTCTGTTGTTGTTGTTTTTGTGATTCAAGAGATTCAAGATTCTTTATTTGTCACATGCATGGTTATACAGGTATAACACGCAGTGAAATGTGACCTGATACACTCCTCGACTGTGCAACGAAAAAGAGAGAGACAGAACTTTATATACAGTGAATGAGTATATACAAAGAGGACATGTGTGGTTCTCGTTACAACACAAAATAAACAGAAAACGCCTTGAAACACATGAGAAAGAGACCAAATGTTGGCTTGGTCTTCAAACTTGTTTCAAGCTGTTGGGTTCTTACCATAACAAGCGACGGGTAAAGGATACAGTGACATCCCTGCAAACCTGCATCAGAAACTGAAGAGAACCCTCAAACAAAATATGTGGGAATGCCCTAATAAGATCTGCTTGATTAACACTCTTAATTTCTTTTTTCAACTCATGTCAGTTAAACACTTCATTATAGTATAATATTGACCATGTGTGAAATCTTAGTTTAGGTTTTACTGCTATGTGGTCAAAAGCCTGAGAATCAAACTGCAAATTGCAATGTTGGCTACAGATGCAAAGTCTGTGTTTTCCCTCATTTCATTACAATCCACCTGATAGTCACTGATCTATTACACTTAAAATTAAAAATGTCAACATCATGGTGGCACGGGAGAAAAATGAAAGGGATTACCAGATGTTTATTTCATGGAAATCTATCGAATAGTAACTAACTAAGCCCTCGGGGCTAGAGACCTCTTAGCAATGATCTGACAACCACTCACGAGGGAAAAATGTGTCTTGTCAATCAGTTGCAAGTGGTTGCTAGAGGTTGCTGGCTAACGCTGAGTGAGCAAAGCTCATTCTTTCCTTGTCATTCCTTCGGTCAGTGGCAGATTGACACAGTAACTCACAGTTTGCATGAAAGGTCCGCACATGTCTGCAGACACTAATCAGTCTACTCTCTGTGCAGCATTGAAATGTAAAAACTGTGAGACACAAACTAGAAAGGGTGAACACTTATCTTCAGAGTAAAAGATGTGCTTTACTGCTGCAGTCATCACATTTCAAATAGCACAGCTTTAACTCTGCGGGTGAACTGTTTCCGTTTCTGGTTTGTGTTGCACTTTTCACAGTTTCACTACCAGTGTTATCAGCAACTTGCACAAGTTTGCAGTCACGTCAGCGTCTGTCACGCAGGTTCTGAGTGCAGCACTGTCAGCAACCTCTAAAATTAACTCATCAAAATACGCAATTTAGTGACCGGGGGTTGCTGGGTTGATTGGTTTCTGATTGGTTTCTATGATCAGTTTCTATGCTTGCGTGAATGTGGCTTTAGCAACTGATTGGACTGCTACCAGCCTCGAAAAACCACTGTTCGGTTAATGCAAATTTTTCCCTTGGAACTGGTGGCATCAACATAGTTGGTAACCAGTCTCTAGGTCTGTGTGACTAAGACTTTAATGAAATTGCCAACTACTACTACTGCAACACTACTGCTGATGAAATGTTGTATGCAGTGGTTAAATAATTATTTGATCACCCACTGAATTTGTAAATTTGTTCACTTTCAAAGAAATGAAAAGTCTCTAATTTTATGGTGGATGCATTTTATAGGAGAGAGACAGAAATTACCTAAAAGTTAAGAATTGATTTGCATGCAACTGAATGAAATAAGTAGTGGATCCCAATCGAAACGTGACTTGGTAAACGTACTTGGTGGGGAATCCCTTGTTGGCAAGTAGAGCACTAAGACATTTCTTGTAGTTGGTTACAAGGTTTGCGCAAATCTCAGGGGATTTTTGCCCATTTCTATTCAGAGAAACTCTCTAAATCCTTTAGCGTATCTCAGCTGCCGCTTGAAGGAAAGCATCTGTGTGTGTCCAAGTAAACTTTTTCTCACAGGTTGACGTTCTTACACAGGAACCAGCAGAGCATTTTCAAATGCACTGCTGACCTCGGAGGAAAAGCAGCGTTGTGGAATTGACACACTCTTCACTAGTCGGGACAGTTACAAAGCTTTCCTCGTTATGAATGAGCGATACTTTTTTATTAAACATTTGAACATGATTCAACACAAACTCTCGTAGAGGAGATAAAGTCAGAGAGATACATGTTTTGAAACGACAAGGATCAGGTGCATCTAGTACACCTAGAGCGGCCGCTAAAAAACGATATACAAGCAGAGCTCAGCAGTCAGCGCAACAAATTCTGGATCCATGCCGTGTCTGATGTGAAACCACCTTCATGCTGCATAGTGTGACTCATTGCAGTGGTCCCGGTTCAACACTGATTTTGTGTTAAAGTAATACTAAAGTAATAATGGTATTTCTGACCACTGGTATACCACAACTGTATCCTTTCAACAGCTACCAAAAGTTAAAGAACCTAGCTTGTATGAGCCTTATGGGATATTTATATAAAGATCCCCCAGCTTCAAACTGTATTACCCTTCAAGGACCTGCAGCTCAGTAAAGCATCGCTCCGACAGCCAAACCAATCTGTTCTCTGATTGGATAGTTCAATTTGTGATTGACATGACATTGACCTATCAGCTGAAAGGAAGAAAAATAGGGTCAAAATTCGTACTTGTAACTTGAAACTTGAGTGCAGTTTCACATGGATTTTTTTTGCTGTGTGCACACACAAATCTTTTTTTACACACACATTAATTCTTTTTACACATACAAATCCTGATTTACAAGTACAAAATATTTATGACCACAATTCAAGCCCATAGATTGAGGTCTGGAGACTGTCTAGGCCACTCCACGACTTTAATGTGCGTCTTCTTTAGCCAGTCTCTTATTGTGTTGGCAGTCTGCTTGTCATTGTTGTGCTAGAAGACCTGTCAACAACTCATCTTCAGTGTTCTGACTGAGGAAAGGAAGTGAAGTAGGTCCTCTAGGAAAAGCTTGACATCGGTGGTGGTGTTGTTTTCGCTTCCTCAATACACAGCATGTCACAGTAACTCAAGTTGCTATGAAACTGATGCCAAAGAGCTCGATTTTGGTTTCATCTGACCACAGAACTTTCTCCCAAGCCTGAATCCTTTAGATTTTTCCTTGAACCTTCTTGAACAGAGGAACGTCACTACAAGATTGCTATCCATTACAGCATTGTGTGTTACCAATCGTGTCCTTAATGACTAGACATGCCAGCCTGTTTGGCATTCCAGACCAAGGGCAATTGATGGTCGTTTCTTCCATTTCTAAGTAATGAAACCAACAACTGTCACCTTCTCACCAAGTTTCTTGCTGATGGTCTTGTAGCCCATTCCAGCCTCACGCAAGTCTACAGTCTTATTCCCAATGTGCTTTGACTGGTTAGTGCTCCCCATGGTGATGGAGAGACAGGAATCAGAGAAATTTGTTTTGTGGACAGGTGTGCTTTATATACATAAGGAGTTGGATTGGGAATATCTTTGATTGGTTGATTCATTGATGGAAACCTGTGTGCCACATCAGCACACTGGCAATCTTTGTGAGGCAGAATTTTACGTGGCTTGTAGTGAATCAAATACTTATTTCACACATCGATATGTAATCAGTTTCTAACTTTTATGTACTGTGATCTTCTGTCTCTGTCCATTAAAATGAAACTTATTATTTCCCCCATTGAGGCACTTTCCCTTTACGACATGAGTTATTCAGTATGACAGTTTGCTTCTTTTGAATTAATGATTTCGATTTTTGTGTCATTTAAAGGCCAATTAAAATCTTTTCTGCTTTTACTTTGTAGTTTTCTTTCCCCTCTCGTTTGACTCTCCACTGTCGACCCTTCTTCATGCTTACCTAGTAGGTCTCCATGCACCATGGCCACCAGATACCAAAGTACTCCAAACACGAACCAGGTCCCCGCAAAGGTAGCCGAGAAGAGGAACAACTTGTAGCGCCATTGCATGTCCAGGAAAGTCGTCCAGAGGTCACGGAGGTACAGCGCCCCTCTTCCACTTACATGCTCAATGCGTACATTGCTCCGCCCATCTTTAGAAAGGACACGCCGCCGCCTTCGCAGAGCACTTGGACCTCCAGATGCAGCTCCTCCCACTCCTGCATGACCGCCAGTTCCATCTGTGGGGGTCAGCAGGGGCTTGGTGATGTCAGTCTGCGTCTGAGAATGGCAAACTTTCTGAGGGGAGGTGCCTTCAGAGGAAGGCGGTGTGGCTGAGGTCATGACCAAAGCTACATGGTATTGGAGAAAGAAAGAGGACACAGCAAGAGGTAAGGACACAAGGAAAGGTGTGCAAAAGAAGTATGAAGGAAAAGAAAGGAAAGGATAGTAAGGAATAAAGGGGAATTGGTTGGATGGGCAGTAAAATAAAATGAACAGCGGGTGTTTTAAAATGAAAGAGTGAAGGACGTAAGAAAAAGAGAATTCGATAAGCACGTGAAAAAGAAAGATGACAGAGTGGAACATTTAGGAGGAGAGGAGAAGAAGAAGACAGGCATTAAAGGCACATTTTCAGCTGGACAGTTGCTAGCTATCCACGGCGGTCCATTTAAGACCCCTTTATTCTTTCACTGAAGGCACAGCTGCCCTTTCACATTAAAAGCATGAAAGCACAGGCTCTTTCACATGTTGGTTGCACTAGACAGCTGCTGAATGCACCAGTGACCTTTTTTTATATAAAAGAAAAAGAGGTCTTTAAACTTGAGCCACGGATGTGAACACCCTGTTCAGTTTTTCTAAAAGCAGTTTTCACTCCTTCTTAATGTGTTTTTACTTTAAGACTGACATTAGTTGTGAAGCATTTGCAGCACATGACAAACTGCCCTCTTGCACATGTACTTTGTAAATAACACTAGGGTTTGAAGAGTAAAGCCAACACAGAAGGCCCAAAAACTGCAGTGTCTTGAATATTTTTAGTGAAATATTAGTAGCAAAACTGTTAATGCTGTGGTCACCAGCTAGGAGTTACCTCCACTGCTCTGAATGACTACCCCCCCCCTCCCCCCAACCCCCTTTGTAGTGTTGGTGCTTTTTAGAGTAATTTTCAATCCAAAACTCTGATGAGTAATATGGGTTGCTGTGTGGTTGATTTTACTTTCCAACTTTCCAAGAAGTTCAATCTACAGTTTTACTAAATGAAAGTCTAGCATGCTATTGGTGAAGATCACTGTAAAGATAAAGCCGAGGTTTCAAAACTGGAGTTTCTGTTGGATGGTGTTACAGTGGCTAAATCTAGCTTTTTTAAATAGCCTGCTGTTATCAGTGCTACTAGTATTAGTGGCTAATTTAGGTGACAGGGATCTAGCGAGGGATGTGCAGTGGCGGTTTTTGATACGGGCGACATGGACGGTTGCCCAGGGCGGCATTGTGGTGGGGGCGGCATCACAAGCATCAGCAAAAAAGTTACTCCTACTCATGCTGCCCCGACATCAGGCCAGCGCATTTTGGGGATGGCATAGGCACAGATCGGTTTTCTATCTGCTTCCAAATAGAGCACATTTCCTTCATAATGTTGTAAATCCAAGCCCATTATGTATTCATGATTTGAATCCTGGGTTGTGCGAAATCGCAGAAATAGAGCCTAGACAAAGTGAATCTGTGAACTAAGGTGTAGGTTATGTTGTGGTGATCCTCGGGTTGGGGGATTTGTGTTCATACTGGAGTTCAAAATTAAGACCAATGGAAGATGGACAAGAAAAGTTCAAAGCCATCAGGTGCTCAGTTTAGGAAAAAGAGAAAAGAAGAGGAGGAGAAACGAGCAAAAGATACAGGTAAGCAGATGTGTCATTGGATAATGGCAGGTCATCCTGAAACAATCAGAATCAGAACACTTTATTAATCCCTAAGGAAATTATGTGGGTTACAGTTGCTTCAAGAAGAAATGGTAACAGTAACAGTAACAAACTAAACTCCAAACAATACATTATGTTACAGATTTTACACATTTAAGAAATAGCACTATTATATACAGATCACTCAATTATAAATATCAAGGATTAACAGAGGTGATTATAAATAAATATCAAGAAAAAGTGCTAGAGGGAGTGTTCGCCCAGGGCGCCAAACAGGCTAGGACCGCCACTGGCAGAGTGTGTAGTAGAAGCTAGGGAAGTGTAGCTGCTCTGGTATTAGCGAAAAAATAGAGGTTTGCATGTAAGTTAATGCTGCTTTAGCAGGTGATGAGCTGACTTGCTAGTCAGAGATGTTTAAATGTCTACCATAGAAAAATAAAAAGTAAACATAAGAAATAACTACAGTATATCAGTGGACAAAGTTACATGTATGCATTTTGTTGATATTTTTGCTCCTGTTTCAACACAATAATGATCTAATGCACAAATCCAGTTCCAAAAAAATGATTTTAAGAGTTTGGAAGACTCTGATGGGCTTGTAAGTAAATCCAACACCTTCTGGCGATGAACTGGAAAGCCAGCTGGAGGTCAGGTCTTTCTGATACTGCTGTGGAGGACTGACAACAAATCCCTGCAGCCAGGCTCCAAAATGTGATGAAAAGACTCACTCATCATAGCAGCATATTAAAGCCTATGGCTTAATATCCAAAGCTACAACTTCATCATTGAACTAGAGAGTTTGTCACATGCATGTGCGTGACTGGCAATACCCTGTTACGGTACAATAAGTGATGGTTTAAGTGGTTCTCATAGTGTCAATGGTATATTAACTAAAAGGCCTGCCACCCCACCTCTGGCTGCCATGGACACTTATTGTCACTTTATTGATTCCCTCCTGTGCTCTCAACAACCTCACCCTCATCTGGGCTGCACTCTTTCTTTCTACACATCCTTCTTTTTCCTTTCTTCCCTCTTCTTGCGCTCGCTGTTTACTAAACAGCCCTTTTGTCTCAAACTGCCTCTGCTTTCCGGAGCAAATATAACAAAACCATAAACAAAAACAACACAAACAAAGGCCTAAGGATCGAGGCAATCTGATACACACTGTCCTTTCCTGTCCTTCCTGACCCCTGTCTCCCCTCTCTCCATGCTCAGCTCACACTGAGTGAATGAATAGAGATCTGTGTTGAAGTCTGCACTGCTATGAATACTAAGATGTGGACGGGAGCAAGAGGGGAGGAAGGCATGGTCTGGGGCGGGCACATGTGATTGGCCTTGTCCATCTCCAGCTGAACTCTGAACCCTACAGAAAGCCTGCCTACACATACAGTAAATGCACACTTGTGCTTTGGATATATATTGAGCAGTTAGCGTTAGTAACACAACCCCAGCTGTTGTTCAAAGGAATGTGTGGTTTGCAAAAACAACACAGTCCAAAAAAAACATGCATCACCTAAAACTAATTTAAAGGATAAGGCCTTCTTTATTCCGTATATTCAATTTTACTGTCCTGAAATATCACAAAAATACTAGAATTTAGCAAGAAACTAGTCCCTGTCTTAGCAAGCCTGCTCGTTTCAACTGAGGACACTGTTTTAGCTGTTAAGTAAAAGGTTATTTTATTAACTTGGGGAAAAGACAACAAAGTGGCAACACAATATTGGCATATAGTAACCTTAAGCAGACACAGAACAGCATTATTGTTTCTTTTTTATCATGTTTAAGTTCACGTGGTAACTATAAGTCCAACATTCTGTCTTATTTTAGCTCATTTTACACGCCAACAGCTCAAAAGAGAAATATTTCTACTGTGCTCTCCAGTTATATTTGTCTGCCATTTATAATAAACAAATAAAGCAAAAAACACGTGAAATATGGGTAATTTAATTATAATAAAGAATCAGGATCTGTTTTTTAGGCTATTTTAAAACAGCCACGGGGCGATTGTGGCTCAAGAGTTGGGAGTTCATCTTGTAATCGGAAAGTTGCCGGTTCGAGCCCCTTTTCCAACAGTCTCAGTCATTGTGTCCTTGGGCAAGACACTTTACCCACTGCCTACTGGTGGTGGTCAGAGGGCCCGGAAAACACATCCATTTTTAAAATTACTACTTTAAGGGAAAAAAAGAAGGATATTTTGAGTATTATGGCAGCAACAAGTCTTAAAAACGTTAGGATAGAGGAAGGGACGTGTTTAACTGTGTCACATCCATTCTTCTTTCAACTGACACTTCTACTATGAAGACACACTGTTGTGCAGTTTGATTTGGTTTACAATGTTTTTGCTATCATTTACAAGGCTTTTGTTCAAATAGATCTCATCTGGATGGAAGCATGTGTCACTTTAAAACCTGCTACACCTTTCAGTATGATGGTGCCTATACAGATGTGCAAGTTGCAAATAGATACTAGTACACTGCCATACCAAACAATGCAGCACACAGAGTGCTGGTGATATGCTGGATCGTCACTCTTCTCTTTAGTATGGAGAATGTTGTCAATGATTTCCAAAAAGAAATTTTAAATTTCAGTTTATCTGACAACAGAAGAGTTTTCTACTTTGCCTCAGTCCATTTTTAAGATGGCACAGTGAACCGTGTTCACAGTCAGTGGTTTCTGGAAGTGTTTCTGAGTCCATGCAGGGATTTCCATCACAGAATCATTTGTTTTTAATGCAACATCCTGTATTAATTTCTGGCATCTGGCATTAAATTGAATCTTTTGACAATAATATGTACTGTAGTTGATTTGGTATTCATAAAATTGTAGTCTAGGGAACATTATCCTGAATTTGTTCTATAATGTGTAGATGCAGCTTTTGCAGATTGGTGAACCTCTGCCCATTTTTCACTTCTGAGAAACTCTGACTCTCCAAGATGCTCTTTTCACACCCACTCGTTTTGCAGACCTGTTGCCAGCCCAGTGTTCTACTGTGAATAAACTAGGGCATTATGAGATCTGCAAATCATTTAATTCTGTTCTTAGTTGCATTTTACACAGCATCCGAATCTTTTTACAATCACGTTTGTAAAATATTATTTCAAAGTTGTGCACTGTAGAAAAACCTATGGTAGTGCATTTGTTTGGGCACTATTTTCTTCTGTGGATGAATTCTTAATGTCAAGCATTGCTTTTACTTTGATTTTATAATTGCTGGACAACAGTTGAGATTTATTACAAAGATCTCCTCATGAGCGTTATTGATAAGAAAAACTTTAAATTTCAACAACACTTCCTCTGTCAGTATAGTCTTAGACATAAAGAAATTTATTGTTTGCTATTTTTAAGCATCCATAGATGGGCACTTCTCTATAAACAAATAATAAATAAAGACATACTAAAGCAAACTGTAATAAAAGCCAAAATGTCTGTTTACAATTTCATTTTCATCAAATGTCTCTTTAGAGGGTAAGAATACCAATGTTAGCTGAGCTAAAGCAAATATCCCTCCTGCTGACAGTAAGACTGATGGATTCCCACACTTTCAACATGACTTATTGGATGACCACTCAAGGTTAGGATCTCTTCCTCTGTGTCCTGCCCTTCAGCCCTCTCCTCCCCTCTGTCCTGTGTGCACAAGAATCCTTTGTTTTTGCGGAGATGAAAGGGACAAAAGCCACCATTGAAAAATACGACTGAGTGAGTGAACGAGAGAGCAAGTTAGACGGGGGGAAAGGAGAGGAGAACTGAGCACTGAAGTGTGTGTGTGTTGTGTGTCTTTGCGAATGTGTTTGATGGTGTGCGAGTATGCAGTGTTTGACACTGTGAGGGGGCCGAGATGGGGCGGGGTGAGAGAGAGAATAATTAGTTTTGAGGGGAGGATGGAGAGAAAGTTGGACATCTGATGACAAAAAGAGTGAAAGAGGAAGAGAGAGAGAGATATGGATGGTGGGGGGAAAAGAGGAAGGAATAAGATGGAGGGAAGGTGGAGGAAGCAGATCGCTGACAAAAGAGCGTCATTAGTATTCCAGAGGCGAGAGTAATCCCTTCTACTCAGGGCCTCCATCCAGGGTCCACAATCATAAAGAACCCACAGCAGCCAGTACGCTGCACTGAAAAGAGTCTATACAGCACAGCTTGAATGGCTGCGACCACTGGCCACACCACAGCGGCCTGTGCACTGGACTGAAAGGACAATCTAAGCATCAACAATGTGCCAAGAGGGCGTCTGCTCAGGCCAAACAAGACGAACTTTCTGGACCTCACACTACCATGCAAATGAGCTGCTGTTGTCTCATGGCTGAAGTTCAGACACTAAAACTTTTGCAGACTCGAGCTGTTCTTTGTATGTGAAAACTTTATTTAAACTATTGCAAAAGGCATATTTATAAAAGATGAATCTATTTAGAGGGTTTGGGAATAATTAGTGGGAACCTTGACTAAGTAGCACACATTAGTAAAGTTACAGTGTGTAACATATTTCACTGCTACATGTCAGTAGATTGCAGTCAACTGAAGTCTCCCAATTCAAGTGCATAATTCTAGCTATGGTTGCAGCTATGGGACGAACATGTTTTATTCAGCCAAGAGAGACAAAACTAGCATTAAATTGGGGCATGATTGAAATACCGCTTGCACTGTACTCCACCCCAGAGTTTTTCCCTAACTGTGGAAGGCTGTTGGGCCGCTGTTGACCTCAGCTGTCAATGCCAGGTGGGAAGCATCTGCCATTATTTACTTGTGAAGGGATGAGTTGATTAGTCAGTGAAACTCACTTCTGACCAATTACAAATGCTCTCATAGCTGGACTGGCCATCGGGCATACCGATTTGCCCGGTGGACCGATGGTGATTTTTCATTTTTATGGGTTTTGGGTTTTTTTAGTTTTTTTCCCGTAACGGTATAAACAATGAAAGGTGGTGGATTGGCCAGGTGCTGGGAGATGTGTAAAAATAACTCAATTGTTTGGTGGTGGCTATTGCGGAGCTTCCACAGATTCAGTAACATTAGCAAGTGGTGGAGGCCAGCAGATGCAACACGCTGGCAGGTGGATGACGGAAAGGCAGGAGGAGCAGAGACCCGAGGCGGTGAACTGAACTTCAGGTAAGAAGTTATGACCTGCAGTCTATCTGGGTCAGATTTAAACCAAGTTTAGGTGGAGTTTATTTTCGTTATGCTGACTTTTTACAGTCAGTTATAATAACTCATACTGCGTACTAGCTAGCACGATAGAGTTTATATACTGCTGGGTGGGTGCTATGACGTTAATGATGTTGAACTTGTTTTATCTTATTTTATTTATAAGGTTAGTTATTAGAGTTTCCAACCATCCCGTAAAAAACGGAATCGTCTCGTATTCAGAGAAAATATTATGCGTTTCGTATTGAGGTGAAAAGGAGCACAGTTTGTCCCGGACTTCAGCTACAATGAAAAAGACACAAAGCTGGAGTTATTCTGTGTCTTTGCTGCACAGCTGCCTCTTCTTCTCTCATTCTCTCCCCCTCCCTCCCCTGTTTCTACTTCAATCATGAAACTGATCAATGATCAGCTGATCGGCTTTTCTCTCTTGTTTGTTTATCGCTCACTTCGCGCCAGAAAGAAGAAACCGGCGGATGTCGTGCTAAACAACAGCAGCACCATGTCTCACCTCTAGTCTTCTCTGTCTTAATTTCAGGTTTTCACCATGTGTTGTAGATAGTTCAGGAGGTTAACTCGACCAAGCAGTCTACTTTCGGGTACTGTTTAGAGTACCAGAATAGGGAGGATGGTGTAGGTTTAAGTTTATTAGACTGATACATATATACCAACAAGACAGTGTACATCACTGTGACAACAGCGTTTGTTTTCATTCAAAGGCTTTATGGTTTTTCCTATAATACCTGGTGGGCCGGTCTCTAGTCAAAATGCCCGGGCCGATTGTTTGTCCCAGTCCAGCCCTGGATGCTAAGATGAGTTGCTGAGTATGTGCTGAACTGTCGTAATTTTTACTGTTTTGTTTCCGCTGTTAGCTGTTGTTAGCCTTTATTAGCTCCGTTTGCCAGCGTTAGCTATCTTTGAAGTGAATGTACATTGTTGGACATGGATGCTTAGCAAATAAATTCTCATATGATTTGATAATGTAATCAAACACTTTATCAGAGGCAAAGTATGATTTTAAGGACACTTGAGCCTAGCATTCACTAACATAGCATTAGCTTGTAACCTGCTGTTGATGTTTAGCTGGCTTATTGGCAGCTGTCTGGAGACAGGAGGGTTGAATGTCTGATAATTATTATTTGTGACAATAAATAATTATTTGTGTCTTAGAGCCCTGACAAGTCAGGAGATCATGCTTGTGGTGAAGTGGAAGAGGGTGACATTTTATCAAGATGCTGGTGGTGTTGTCGCTTTCCTTCACATTTTATTTCTTTGGGGAAGGGGATTCTTTCTCTGATGATAATCCATAGATATGATCCATAATGTCATAAGTCTGAAGGTGCAGACATGAATTGATGTCCCTTCATGGCTCATAAACACCTTCAACTCATCTTCTCCTCTGCCTTTGGAGTTCTACATATCCTTTCTCCTATTAACTAACCTATAAAATTACAGACTATACCTTTAAATGTATAATTTGCAACCAATTGCTTAATGTTTAATATGTGACATGCAGTTTGTTTACAAGTAAATAATATTATTATTCAGAATGTACTAAAGCTTGTGCATCTGAAGCTGCTGGAGTTCATTCAGTGCATGCACCTCCGGCAGTACATTTCCCCATTAAATGCAACTCCATATGAGTGTCATAATAAGCTATAGACATCATTTTCTGCTATTTTAACTTGAACTTACATAATGTTCAGATTGTTTGTATTTCTACACCTATAAAATGTGATTTACATTTATTCACATTTTACAAACAGGAAGTAAACAGTGTCTACAGTGACCAGACGTATTTCTCAAAATAGCATCAGACTGTACCAGACTACATCTAAATCCAACATGAAACAATTCACTTTCACTTCCGTCTCCAAGAGTCAGTGACTGGAGAGTTACGACGCTGGCCCATATTAAACAATGGCGAGCGGCTGTTGGCCACAGGGGAATTACTCAGGAGTGACTTTTACCATCTTCTTCTAAGTCAGCAGTAGCCAAAGCTACTATAAATCTGATATAAATCTGATATAAATCTGATATAAATCTGAATGGCTGCTTCTGGGGATTTCTCAATGAGAAGAAGTGATTCATTTGACCAGATATTTCCAGCAAAGATTTTCTGTAGAGTAGTGAAACAGAACCACACCTGTTGTTTCCTCTGTGGTTTGTAGAGCTCTTTGTTAGTAATGTATGTCTGTGGTACAGTGCCAACAATCTTCGACTTCCGATACATCCAGCTCCAAAATTAAGTATTCGATGACTAAGTCAGGCTTGTTTTTTGGAAACTTTTGTAACTTCACAGCTACATGAACTCTGTGTCACAGTGCACAGATTTAGAAGTGGAAACTCGTCCATTGCTACACACCACTCATACCCCTCTGCACTGTAAACACAACACAGCCGCTGCAACAAAACTCAGCACCAGTTTCCCTCAAGCCTATAGAAAAAAGTTCAAAGACTAAACTGCAGGATTTCTCATGTTTATAATATAGCAAGAAAAAGTGACTATTCCAAGATTTAACATATGTCAGCTACATTAACCACAAATATCAAAACAATACAAAACTTAACCTTATAATCATGTCTTGGTGAGTGGAAACAGCTACAGAATATACATTTTAGAATAGTTTTTCAGATTGTTTATGCGCTTCCTTTAAGAATATTTGCATTTCTTACCTTTCCCTTGACTTTTCACTTTGCCCACAGCTTGGAAATTTTAAAAATGTACTTAATTTCACTTTCCACCAAACATGTGGGAAGAGGTGAAAGTTATCTGCCTTCCAAAACAGGTGTGAAATTTCAGGGTGCTGAACAAATAGCACTTGTTGACACGTTTCGCATGTTTCACCTCATCTCGTTGTTTTCCTAGTTTTCTTTCACAGTCCTCCTACGTTGCTGACATCCTATATTTCTAAAAAATAAATAAATACATTAAAAAAAGATTAAAAGAAAGAGAAAGAAAGAAAAACTCACTGAGAAAAACATGAAAGCCGTCAGAGGAGAGGAGAGGCCTGGATGAGGAGTCCCAGCGGTCAGTCAGTGTACCGCAGCAGCACGCTGGCACTGGCAGTACCGGTTCCGGCTCACTGTTGCTGGATCATTATGTAATCGGATGAGCACAGTCTGCCTCTCCTTGCATGTGAAGCCTTCTGTGTCCCCACAGGGACAAGTTAAAGAAGCTTGCGCTGTCCACTCCTCCAGGGTCCACCCAGCATGCCTCTCTATATAAACCCAAAACTATTCAGACGGACGCTGCTTCACAACATTTTTAATTCATTAATTCAACTCCCCTCCCAGCTTCTCCTCCTACCCTCCCTCTCACTGTCTCTCCCTGACTGTACGCTATAAATGGGACTCTTTGTTGCAAGGCCTCCTCCGCTGTTTCAGCCTTTGTCAACTTTCTCATGTAAATGTTCGATGGTCATAAGATACAAGCCTGGAAGTTGTCGCACTGAAACAGAGGTATTTACAAATCAAAGGCAAGAAAAGAAAAAAACGAAAAACTTGGCTTCTTGCAGTTTTGCGTTGGCCAGTGTGCGGTGAATGGATATTGTCGGTGCATCTCTGTGAGGCTGTGCCATGCCCGCCTGCAAAGAGGAGGACTTTGGTAGTGTAACGGCGAGTACGCACGGTCCTACTGTGAATGGATGGCACGAGATGGCCAGGAAGTAACTGCTATTACAGTCAAACTCTGGCCCTGTGGTAGATGGATGTCTAATGCTTCTCTTTGATGTAAGGGGAAATGTGCAGGAGTGTAAATTAGTATTACCGGTATGTAGGTCTACACTTTTTCTCACAGACCTTTCACTTGGGAAGATTGAACTCTGTGCTCCATTACATGTCTTTTGTCAACTTGTCTTCTTTTGAAGAATGAAAATTGACTGAAAAAAGTATATATTCTTATTATTATGAAGGAGATCTTATAAAGAAAGATAGAGGGTGCATCTGCAGGGCAGATCTGAATACTACTCTGTAGTATTTACCCGGCTGGTGTCACACGGACATCAATCTACAGGGTCCCTTCAACTTGCCAGCCAGTGTTGTAGCTGGCAAGGGGGGGCTGCATCTATAGGGGACCAGCTTGTATTGGAATGTTTACCTTTTAGGGGGATTTGATGAAGATTTAGGCCAAGTTCATTCTTGGCTTCTTGGGTGAGGAGCTACATCTGAAGTGAGAGATGCTGGAGAAGTTTTCATGTTTGGATCAAACATTTCTATCATTTAGAAATTGGGCTGTAGTTGCATCGTAAGGTTTTAAAAACTGAGCTTTAAAATGAATAGTGGTAATAAAAACCGGTAGAGGGCAAGAGTGATCACTGACTGTTTTTAGGGGCTTTTTGAGAATATATAGAACAAGATACAAAGCATTAAAACATGTTAAAAACACAAAAGCCTTATTAAACACAGGGTAGTTTGGGCCCAGAAGCAGGATTCATCACGTCATCACTTAAAGACCAGATACCCGTTATGTGCCTGTGAGCACGAGGAGGGAGAAAAAGGAGAGTCGAAAAGTATCAGTTGTCACTGAACAGAAACAGGAGCTGGAAGCATGTAAATATAATAACAACCACTGCAGCCAAGAAGAGTGCCTGACGAGCCCAGCTGTAAGTACGCTATTAAGACTCGACTGCACACCGTGTTCGTGTTTTTCTCCGAAACACTAAGTTCTGTTGGAGCAGCCTTTCAACGCCTCTCTCTGTCTCTCGCTAGCAAAGTTGACCCAGACAACAAAGTAAAGCTAGTTTTTGGCTACGGATCCTGACATATTAGCCAGAGGTCCCTTTATTACAGTTTCGGAGTCGCAGACCTGTTTTATATACGCGCAGAATAGTTTTCTACATGAGATCACTGCAAAAAGTGCAGCCTTACCTAATGTCCACCCCACTTATTCATTTTATATTAAATGTAGTTGGTAGTGGTATGGCGAGTAACCTTCAGTAACAGTAATAAATCACACAGCAATAGTACATTGCTGTGATATTTATTAAGTAATCCAAAGTATTCAGATTACGTTACTCTCAGTAACATAATGGAATACATTTCAAAATACATTTTGGGGCATGTATTCTGTAATCTGTAGTGGAATACATTTTAAAAGTAACCTTCCCGACACTGATTACATGCTAAAGATTCTGAGCTGCTGTGTATCTTATTTAACTCTCACTTACTTATATGAAAGAATGTGACCTTGCTATGCTGACAAGACCAAGACATGTATGTTTTCATACCAAAACCTAGGAAAACTGGGCGACAGAGATTACTGAGCGTGAGTTTCAAGAGGCCGGCAGAAGAAGAAAAGAGGGGAAGAAGGGGGAAAAAGTACATATGAGTCACAATGTATGAAGAAAAAGAGAGAAAGAGGAAGGAAGAGGAGAAGCAAACAGATGGGGCGTTAAAGACAGAGAAGCAACAAGAGACCGGAGAGACAAAAAAAGAGGAGGTTTGAAGGAAGGAAGAAAAAACAACATTAACATGATGCTGTTTTGTTGTGGACCGCTCGGAAGGTTCTCTGCTTCATGCAACTCCTCTTTTCCTTTTTGTCCACCCTTCTCTTTGTTGATCCATTTCTTTGACCCGGAATAAGGTTTGTGTTTCCATCACATGTTGCACATGTCTTCCCCCGCCCTTTGTTTCCACTTTGAGGGTGAAGAAACCCCACTGCATGCAAAGTAGACCAAGATCAGACAGCGTGAAAGCATGCAAGAACAGGTGCCCTGACACCATGAGCGATAAAGGGCACATATACCCACAGAAAGAGAAACAGAAATAGAGGGCCAACTGAGAAGAACTTCAAGAGGTTCCCAAAGTTTTAATGAATATTGCAAAACAAAATAATAATTTCAATTGAAAGAATGCAGTTTTTTTAATGTAGCATTTCACACACATACATACTTGCACACAAATGTTTTCTATTTAGATCCTGACTTTTGGTCATTTATTCTGTTACTGTAGACCACAGCTGATTAAAGAGGGAAGCTTCAGCAAAAGAAGAGAATAATACTGTTGAGTGTAATATTATTAGCAGAGACAACTATCGCTTTAAAAACAAGGTGTCCAAATCTCTACGGGACATCCATCCATACGACAGCTGTGTATCGCTGTCAGATAAACATTTTGGATAGAGAATTTTATTCTTTTCATCAAAAACATCCCAAAATAACAAATTCAACGACTAACAAGTTAACAACTTAACAGCGTTATAGCAGATTACAGTGAGAGGCCTTCACGGCGCTTACTGTATGTTTCACACTAACCTCTCACTCCATCTAGTGGTTACACAATTTCACAATTGAAGGAAAATCTGGTTTTAAACTTTTAAGTTTAAAAAATTTAAAAACACCTGCCTCTCACTGAAGGAACACTCTTTGCCTTTTTCTCGCTGTTTTGGCTGCTCCCTTCAGGGGTCACAATATCACCCTATCCCTATTATCCTCTTCTATAACAACCATCTCTCTGCATGCCTTCCCTTCGCTACAGCCATGAATTTTGTCTGTAGTCTTCCTCTTTTCCTGCTACCTGCCGGCTTCATCTTCAGCATCCTTTGTCCAATATATCCACTATCCGTCCACTGCACATGTGCAAACCATCTCAGTCTCTCTGGCTTTATCTTCAAACCACTCAACCTGAGCTGTAACAATAATCATGTCTCTCCTGGTCACTAATAAAAACGTTAACATCTTTTACTCTGCTTCTTGTCTTTTTGTCAGTGCCACTGTCTCCACGCTATATATCACAGCAGGTCTAATTCTACTTTAAACACTAAAAACTCAAGGAAATCTTATTTTTTATTATCAAACATAATCAAGATGAAGTTAGTAGATGAGTGATGATGAAGAGTAAAGTATTAAAAATAATAATCATCAGCTTGACATAAACGTGAGGTTTGTTGTTGTAATTTGCAGTGGTGTCCTCCAGAGGTCGCCACTGCTCTTGATTATGGCAGGTATCTGAGCAGAGGTGTTGGTTTTAAAACGTGCCTTCTATTTGGCCAAATATTTAAACCTACTCTTTTGAGTAAGCCAAGATCACCGAGAGATGAAATGATGAACAGTCTTAGGCCATATCTGGACCAAATTCTTTAAGTTACAAAGTAAAGCATCTACTTTTGGGGAAACTGTAAACCAGATCATGTGCGTGTGCATAAAGGAAACTGAAGGCTGCATCTCGTGACTAGAAACTCACTTTCCACTTGTGTAAGGCCAATAAGTAAAAAAGTAAAGGAGCAGCTCAAGAAAGGTAATGGAATTTGATGCCTGTAAGTGCACGAGGGCAAGCCAAATGGTTTAACGAAAATTTAATCTCCAGTCACTTAAACACCAAATTACACGTGAACTGTGATCATTCTTTCAGTGTCAAGGAGCAGTTTCTCTGTAAACTCATGAACACTGCTAAAACACTGAATGATGTTGGTGTTCGTGTTAGAGCCGCAGCCTCAACGACTGCAGTGGTTGGCCTGTCCGCCGCTTTGATCCAGACCTGAAGATCTCAACAGGTAATCAGAAGAGGGTAACTGTGACAGGTGTTCATTTGATGAGCCATCGAAGTGTTGATGGTGTCTTTGCTGATTTCAGTCTGCTAAAATCTGGGGGATAGACCTAACCACAACCCTGGAGAGCATAAATGGCAAAGAAGACGGATGGGTTTGCTCAGAATTTTGGTTTATGACCATTCTTGATGATTCACATATTTAACTTGGCAAATATTATACCCCATGTGCCTTTCCTAATGACGATTGGGAATGATCTGCTGGGTAACCTGAGTGGGGCTTTGGTCCTTTGCAAAAAAAAATAAACAGGATTTTACTTTAAGTCTGTGTTACAGTTTTTCCACCCTGGATCTTGACCTCTATAGCAGGGAAATGCCTTTGAGAGCAGTCAGAGTGTCTGATAGCTGAGGGGAGTGCAGAACAGTTTGACTGTTAGGCTGGTTGCATTAATTGGCAGTAGGATGAGT